TCTAAGTGAAGTAACCCAGGAAGAAAAAAAATACCATTTGATATCACTCATATGTGGGTTCTATAAAAGAAAAGGAAAAATGACCTAATTTATAAAACAGAAACACATTCACAGACATAGAAAACAAGCATATGGTTATCAGACTTGGGAACTGAATGGGAAGGGATCAACTGGGAGATCGAGATTTGCAGATATGAAGCAGTACATATAAAACAGATAAGCAAGGTTACACTGTAGCACGGGGAGCCATACTTGTCACCTTGTAGCACGTTATGGTGAAAAAGAATATGAATATCAGTAAATGTATATTCGTGTATGACTAAAGCACCTGCTGTAAACCAGAAACTGATACAACATTGTAAATTGACTATACTTCAATTTAACAAAAAATAAAATAGACTGTCTATAGAGCCACACACCAGGTATGCCGCCACTCTGGAACGCGGAAGGAACTTCCGGTTCTTGCTTTCCTGCCACAGCCCTGCAGGGAAAGTGTCCCCTCACCCACCCAGGCCCAACTGCCCTCTGCCCCTCCCCCACTACAGAAGGTCCTGAGCCTCACATTCTACTGTTTAAATTCAAACTTCACCTGCCTTTGCTTGAATTCTGAGCATCTGCTGGAGCAGTTAACTCACTCTCTGGGTCCTCGTCTGCATTTCTCTCATTGAGGCTACCAGGCAGCGCTGGTCTGTGCCCACGCCTGTGGGAATGGCTTTACAAAAAGGTAAGCCTGAATGCTGGGGATATGTTCTCAGAGACTCTGCCACCCCTCAAATCCTTGGGGTTCACATGTGATATTTCACTGTGGACACAGAGGTGGACTAAAGTGGAGGAAGGAGAGAGCCCTGAATGCCCAAGGACATCTCGCCTGGGGAGCCTGGGGAGATGGTGGAAACCAAAGATCACAAGGGGAGGAGGGCTCGTTGAAGGTGGATCAAAGAGACTCAGGGGAACTGCCCTGGGTGTGGAGAAAGGACAGCAGCAGGCAGGGTGGTTCTTTGTAGAAGGGAGACAAGCCACTGTGAAACCTGTGTGTCAGGGTTAGTAGGTCTGAGCTGGTGGCACAGGGAGGGTCATGGGGAAAGCCTAGCCCTGTACCTTGTTCCTTAGGCACCTGGAGCTTGCCCCACGATTTCCTTCTAAGGGATCTGAACCGGGGCATCCTGTATCTAATAGGGGCACGGGGAGAGAAGGGCTTAGCCAGAAAACTGTTCAAAGGGGGGATCTGTGGCCACATCTGCTATGAACTGCTTTCGCCAAGAGCTAGGCAGGAAGTTACTCTAACTGCCACAGCCCAGAACTTCTCCCCTCCTTCCAGCCCAGGACTCGCTCCTCAGTTCAGGTAACTGTTGCCCTGGATCCCGCAGGGGATGGGCAAACTCTCGGCTTCAACCAAGACAGGGCTTGAGGCCCCCAGTTGTTCTGAATTGGTCTTCCTTTTGTGGAAACGCACTTCTGCAGACACTTGTGATAGCTGTCCAGCATCTCAGGGAGGACCGTCAGGCCTGCCTGTGACATGAGAAGTTTGTTCATATTTCACGTCAGCATTTCACAGACAGGGAACAGACATGGAGTGCGGGTGGTGGTGCTAGAACATGAATGAAGGCTGTTTCCTTTTTAAAGGGGAGGAGCGGAGCCCGGGAGCAGGAAGACAATCTTCTGTGTTGTTATTAACACCCTATGGCACCTGTTCTGACTCAGTAGGGGCCCTGGGGGTGTGCCTTGTTCTCCTGAACAGGGATGTGTTCCAGACAACCGTATCAATGAAGGCACCTGGCTCGTGCCTTCTTAGTCTGTCTTCACTTTCCATCACTGGGAAATAGAAAGGGAAGGAACACAGGAACTCTATTCCTTGGCCTTTTCTACTCCTCTGCGGCCATCACTGGCTGTGAAAGGACGGAAATCACACATGTGGCTGCTTCTCAGACCCCTGTTCCAGGAGCAGAACTCCTGAGTGATGGCAGTGACTCTGGGCACTGGGGATGGGGTGGCAGAACCCAGCCCATGTTAAGTGTCTGCTGCGGGCGGCCCTGACGTCACGTGCACGCTGGGCCAGTGTGTTACGGATTTGCGTCAGGGTTCTGCGGGGAGAGATGTTTCCAGCATTTCTGTTTTGTTGTGTGAGTCCAGGAAAGAAAGAAAGAGGGTTTATACTAAACACCAGGAAAAAGAAGAGTAAGGAGGAGGTGGAACCTTAATATTTTAGACACTGCCTGGTTCACAAAGGCCCTTTGGGTGCCTACAACTTCCCTTGGAGAAGCTCTCTACCTGCTAGTGAGCCTGCAAAGGAGCAGGTGTCCACCCACCTCCGAGACTTAGGAGAGACAGCCTGTGAGAGTCAGGTGCAGGGGAATTCCTTAGGGAGGCCCTGCGAGTCGGTGCTTGCTGAGGCTATTTCTTCCCAGCAAGCAGGGGTCAGGGACCTGGGTGAATGGGAGCAAGTTCCCTACTGGAGTAATTCCGACTTAGAGGTCAGAGCACGAAAACTAGTCCAAGACATCTGCACATGGCACAGCCTCCCCTGTCCAAATGTCCTTCACCTGCTGACACTGACTCTCTGATTCCCCAGAGAGCCCCAGTCCTGGTTGCCCATTCTCAACCTCCACTCACCCCTTTCCTTTGTCTCAACAGCATCTCCACTGCTGGGAACGGATGTGCTCCTGAGCACTGGTGCCCCCCTGTCTCCATTCATGGCACTTCCCTCTCCCCCACCCGCTCCTGGCCCCCAACACCGGCCACCCTGGGAGCAGCACCTGCCACCCTCCTTGACCCCATCGTTCCCTCCTGGCACCACCCTGCTGCTGCCAGCTTTCCCCACGACACCTTTGGTGGCTACTGGTGGCCAGGTCCCCACTGCCACTGGGCCTTGCAACATCCCTGTCTACGTAAGATCGGAAGTGAGGCCAACAGAGTTCCCTCCGATGCAGAGCTTCGTTCTCCCTCCAGGGACTGTCACCTGGGGTGCACCAGGGGCCCTCAGTGGGACTACTTGCCCTGCTCCCCAATCCTTAGCACCCCAAGTGACCACCCCAGCTGTTGGGGTAACTCAGGCTGGCACGGGAGGCTGGGCCCCCGGCCGTCCCTCTCAAGCTCCACCACCACCTGTACAGCTGGCCCCCAGCATGCCCCCCATCAACACCGGGCCATGGCCACCTGGCGCATCCAGGGACGGGAGTCTGGCCCCCTCCCAGTCTCAGCCACCTCAGGATGACTCCTTTAGCTGCAACAACATCTACAAGCACTACCGGCGTTGGCAGCGCTTCAAGAGCCTGGCCCGGAGGCACCTTCCCCAGAGCCCTGATGCACAAGCTCTCTTCTGCTTTGTCATGTGAGTCAGTTCTCGGGGGCACATGAGCTCATCTGGAGCTTCACATGGAGGACTTTGGGGTGAACTTGCAGGTTAGGTTTCTAGGGATCCCGGAAGGGAGGTCTGAGGGTGATGTCCACGCTATGACAAGGCACATTGTCCATCATGCGCTCACACTTCCAGTCCATGACATCCATTCAGTGCCTTCTCTCAACTGAGCCTGCCACCCTAGGTGAGTCCAGTTGACTTTACCTCCCACGATTATCTTAGGAATACTTACTGAAGACTGGCAGTCAGAGAGGGTGTTGGGGAAGGTGAGGAGCCACGGATGGGATGCCACCCTCTCCTGTGCTGCTGCTGTCTCGTCGGAACAAAGGGCTTGAGTGTGGGATGGCCAGGGGACGCCACTGCAGAGGAGGGGTAGGATCTACACGGCCCAGGGGAGAGCTGTATGCAGACCTCGTCCTCATTCTTCTGGACAATTCTAGCTGAAACACGGAGATTGTAGAGCTCTCCTAGGGGCAGGGACTGTCTCCTACTAGAGTTGTGAGCTTGACAGGCATTTCCACCTGACACGGGGACAATTACAGGTGATTCAGAGGACTGGGCAGGAGCCCCCGTGGGCTCGTCTGTGAACACTCAGTCATGCTGTGTTGGGGGACGTGTGGTCCATCGTGCCGGGTGGGGTCAGGCTGGTGGGGACTGGGCTGTTCACTGAGACTGACTCTGAGGGCTCACAGCCCAGTGCTTCGATCCCTGGCCCGACTCAAGCCCACCATGACGCTGGAGGAGGGACTGCGGCAGGCCGAGCAGGAATGGGAGCGCACAAGCAACTTCGACCGCATGAATTACTATGAGATGGCAGCAAAGTGAGTCCGTGTCCTGGGCCCAAGGGCTGTGGTGGGTGAGGGCGACACCCCAGAGCAGAATCTGGCTGTGGTCAGAGAGGAGGAGGGAGGAGGGAGCTCCCCCAGCACAGGGTCCCCACAGCCCAGAAGCCGGACCCCTCTCCAAAAGCCACTCCCGCACCCTGACAGCTTGGGTCTATTCGTCCTCTGCCCGGGGCTCCGCCCTCTCCTGAAGTGGCCTTCTTCGCCTTGATGAAGAGCTCACCCGGGGTGGAGTGGGGAAACTGTGAGCCCGGTGGGGGTCACACTGCAGCCCTAGTGGCTGTGCAGGGAAATGTGTTCCACCCACCAGCCTGCTGCCTCCTTAGTGCTGAGGGGCTGGCGGCCACTGACATGGAATTTGGGACCCTCTCTCCTCCTGAAGTGTGGCCTGACTTCGTAACCTGGTGTCCCTCCTGAGGAGGCTGGGCAAGCCAGCCTGTCCTTCACCACAAGGGTCTCTGGCTCTTTCTGAGACTCCTTCGTGTTAATCCCCTTTATTTAAAAAACCGAAAACAAACAAGCACTTCTCAGAGGAAAGGAAACCCTCTCCACTGACCTTAGCGTTCACACCCTACAACCTGTCCTGGGCCCTGTCTCCAGGCTTATGTTCCAGGACTCTCAGCGTCAGCCCAGGATCCTGGATCCGGGCAAGGACCCCCGTGGGGAACACATGCCTCATCTGGCCTCTGGCTGTCAGCCCTTCCTGTGTTTCTGGACACGGGCAGGGGGCAAGTGGAGGGTCACCTGTGGGCCTTCCATCCAGACCTGGTTCATTTATGGACCTGGGTCTATGCTGCTGAATGCCCTGCAGTGCTGGGGAGGCAGGGGTGTCCCCAGATCTGCTATGTGCCCCAGGAGCAGCTCCCCGCTGGCGATACCACCTCACAGGGCAGTGACCACCCCCAGCACATCTTCTCCTGATCCCTCCATCCCTGCAACCTGGGTGGGCTCCAGAGCCCAGGCCTTTTTCTCAGCATGGCCTGTGCCACCCTCACCCCTCAGGTTCAAGGAGTTTGAGGCTGAGGATGAAATGCAGCCTCAGCACTTGCAGTGTATGAAGGGGGTGCAGGGCCTGCCTCCTCCAGCCCCACCGAAGCTGGAACCGTGGGGGCCCCCAGCCCCAAAGGTGGGCCCACAGCCAGGCACCCACGTGCCCACTGCAGCTGAACACAAAGGTAACAGGGAGCTAGGGATGGCCACCGTCCCCACATCAGTCTTCTTCCCTCAGCGGTGCACTGGTCTTTCCACCTGCACAGCCACCCAGAGGGGGTCTCGGCTGCCCTCTGTCACTACGGGGTATCGACTTGCTCACTTGTGGAACTCCTCTCCCACCTCCCTGTCTGAGGGCTCCACAGAAAGCCTGCCTCAAAAGTGGGCTGGATGGGGAGATCACTGGAAACCTGCAGGTTGCACACGTCCTCACACGTGGCTCTCTTAGATGCTCCCACTTACCCGTCCCTCCTCACACCCTGTCACTGAGTGGAAATGCAGGTGGTCTTGATCCCACCCACACCCACGTCCATGTCCCCCAAACACTGCCCTACCCGACGCGCGCACTTCATGGTCACGAGCTGGATGCGGGAGCCCCTCACCCTCCTTTCCTTCTCCCGCTCTGCCTTAGCCTGCGTGCCCATGAAGGCCAGCCCCACGGCCAGAATCAACCACCCACAGCCAGACAGATCCTGGCTGTCCCC